GCAGTGGTGCAGGCCCCAGGTCCACGGCACAAGGCACCCCTGCCCCTGGCGTGCCCCAGGACGCGCGGCCCCGCCCCCGGGCACCCGGCATGTGAGTGGCCCCGCCCCCGGGTACCTGGGAGCCTCAAGGTTGGGGACCACTGCCCTATAGGTTAACCAGAACTGGTAAGCCTCACCTGTTAAGCATGAGGCTTACCTGTTAACCATGTATATCTTTAATTAATACTAGTAACTTAAATGCCTCCACCATAACCACTTCCTTGCTGAGTAACTACCAGATCCAACTAGCAGAAGACATCACTATGCCAGGAATACTATGACCTGGAAATGCAGGTCAATAGTGTTAAAGAAATATGTGGTAAAGAAATGTGTGGATACTAAATATTATGAAAGAGAGGAGCTGTGAACGCCACTGAGCATAGCAAAATGATCTAATGATGCTAGAAATGTGAGTAGGGAATCACAGAAGGAGATATGTGAATCTCCAGTGGTCTGAGAGAAGCCAAATTGTTGTGTGCTAAATCTGGAAAAGCAGCATTTTTCTGAAGTAGCTAGAGGACAGTCTGTGTGTCTGGTGAGTTGCACTTTGCAGGCATCCTGCAGTTCTGAGTCTCTTGACACCAGATACATTAGCAAATTGGAGACAGTTCTAAGAAGAGTAACAATAATAATTGGGGATTGCAGGGACTGATTAATGAGCAGTGATTAAAAGGGTTCTCCCATGTGAGGGGAATATAATAAGTCTGCAATGGAATTAAGGGTGCAAACTAAAGACAGAAAGGGCTTACTCAGGGTATTATAAGAGAATGTAAGTAGATATCATGGGGACTGAAGTTAAGAATGAACATTTCAGCAATGAGTCTGTAGCCTGAGGGTGGGAGAGACCCAGTGTATAGTCCCCCAGCTCCAATGACTCTGATTATTTAGCCATACTGGAACATTTTCAGCCAATAGGCTTAAGCAGGAGTTTTGTAGAGAGATAATACTTTTGGATTTGGGCTGGGGTGTTTAAAGAAAAAGCACTCCATCCCTATTGTCCTTTATTCCATCACTTCCCTAATAAGATGATGCAACAAGAGGGATTGTCCCTGTGGGATCTTCCGCTGAGCAATAGTGATGAGTCAATACAGATGAGTAAGATACAGAAGGGATGCTTGGTCTCAGCCTGGAAGGACATCATCTTTTCCAAAAGTAAGCAAAAGGGGCAGCTAGTGAAATAGCCTTCGAGAGGCTACCAGAAGACAAATACCCATCTTTGGGGAAGAGCATCAGTTCAGGAACACCATCTGTAACATGACAGAAATCCATTTCTGGTCTTGCAATGGAATTTTTTTTTTTTTTTTTTTTTTTTTTTGTGGCTACCAGAAGACAAATACCCATCTTTGGGGAAGAGCATCAGTTCAGGAACACCATCTGTAACATGACAGAAATCCATTTCTGGTCTCGCTACACTACTGTCCTCTGTGTGGCTCTCTCAGCCCTGGTCTACAGTAGGGAGTTATTTCAAAACAACTCTCCTTATTTTGAAATAACAAGCAGAGTGTCCACACTACCAAGCCTCTTATTTGAAATAAGGGGCTGGTTACTTTGAAATAACAACTCCTGCTATCCACGAGGAATAATGCTTATTTTGAAATAGAGGTAGCGTGGATGCTCCACTGCTGCTATTTCAAAATAACTACTCAGAGTCTTCAAAGTAATTACTCCCCAGTGCTTCCTGGGGCTCTAGTCAAGGTAGCACATCCACATTAAGGGAGCCTGACTCAGACTAATTTCGAGGCTTCCCTATAGTGTGGACACACTATTTCAAAATAATTATTTGAGGAGTTTTTATTTTGAAATTTCCTAGTGTAGACATACCCTCAGAGTGTAGTCACTTCACAGGTACAGAACACCCTCTTCAGATACTGGACCTGATGCCTTTGCCTTTCCTATGGTGGAATTCTGTAATTTTCCCACTTTTTGAGTGGGGTTTAGCCTATAGTGTCCACCATGCTAACCCAACAGGTAAGACTGGGCTTAGCACTTGCAATTGTTCCCTTCAGGAGTCTGTGATAACACAGCCTTCTTAAAAAAAAAATTATTTTAGCAGTAGGAAAAAAAAATGAGAAAAATGCAGCCATTTTCAAGCATATAGCTGCATCCTGGCTATAGTAAGAGTGGGCTATTTAATGCCCTGGCTGGAGACCTGTAATGCCAGGAGCAAGGGCTTAGTGAACAGTTATGCCATGAAAATAGCTTCTGTTAGTAATCAAACAACCAACAGCTGGGACACAATCAGAAAGACCATCCACTGAGGAGATGATTCATCTGATCACTCTAGTGGACAAGACAGGTAGGAATTGCTGCCACCTGCAATCCTAGAGACATTTTAAAAATATGAAAAACAAACAAATCAGCAAAATATCATTAATTGAAGCTGGTCCCTGTGGCCTCCCTTTCATCCTTGTCCCTTCACACTGGACTTTTTTTTTTTGCTTATGTGGCTAGTTTTCTGGGCACTGGGCCAAGTTTGGTTTCATTCATGTTTAGTTATATGCAGCATCCTAGAGACTTTCTGAGGTAGGCTTTTTTTAAATCACCTTTTTGCTGTGGAAGTGATAGGAAATGATCTTCTCTATAGACTCTTAAATAATAGCTCATTTCTCATTTGAATATTTCAGCAAACTGTCTGCAAGGCCAATTAGAGGATGGGATAATGAGGAAGGAGCCAGGGGAAAGTATCCTCACAATCTCTAGCCTCACACAAGGATGGGATAATGAGGAAGGAGCCAGGAGAATGTATCCTCACAATCTCTAGCCTCACAGGAACTTTGCAAAGCTCTTGAATGTTGGTTACATTTACAATTTTCACTTGCTGTTGAGTTCAGTGGGAAGCAGTTCTGTCTGCTGCATTAAATTACAAGGGCTTTGCTTGGAGAGGGCCATAAGATTGGAAGGGAAGGAAACTTCCTTTTCCAACCACAGGCAGCAAGTTTGTCTGCCACTGCAGCCCCAGGTGTGTGTGTCACATACCTTCCCCAATAGGAGAATAGCTAAAGGATCAGTGTAGCAGTGAATCAGTGATCCTCTCCACTGTGCTTGTGGCAGTTTGATAGACTAGAGAACTCAGATTGGGGGAGGGGAGAGAACTTTGTGAATGATTACATATGTGCAAGAAAACCATTTTTGCTTCTGCGTATTATGTCTCACTGGGCTGTGCTCAGGCACTATCCAAACAGCGAGGCTGCATTCTGATACCTGCAATTATGACTGACTGTGACTTTGTTGACTATAAAGGCCTATGCAGTCTGAGTTCAGGCTATAGCCCATATTTTACATATACTTACAGCAGGTATGGTGAATTTAATCAAGAGACCTGAAGAAGAGCGCTATGTAGCTTGAAAGCTTGTCTCTCTCACCAGCAGAATTGGTCCAATAAAAGATATTAGGGGGCTGTGCCCTCCGCTCGCTATGCTCACCAACCCCCTTCTTGCAGGGGGTAGGCAACCCCAGCCACCAGGGAGGGCTGGGCTGCAACCGCACCAGTCTGGACCCCTTCCCCTCCCCCCACCGTGAGGCCCTTTCTCCTCTCCCCGTCTCTTCCTCCCCCCGGCTGCGCCAGCCACCAGCCCAGCCCAGGGCCCTTTCTCCTCTCCCTCCCCCAGCTGTGCCAACCTGGGATCATTCTCCTCTCTCTCCCTTCCCTGCTCCCAGCTGTACCACCCTGGCCCTTTCTCCTTTCCCCTACTCCTACCCCACCAGCCCAGGCCCTTTCTCTGCCCCCTCCCACCCAGGGCCGGACCGAGCCATTCCGGCACCCCAGGCAGACAGTTTAATTGCACCCTGGGTTGGGGGAGGGTGCATGCACGGCCCCGCCCCCGCGCTGGCGCGTGGGGGAGGGAGCCTGCACGGAGCTGGCAGCAGCAGGACGCACCTGCCCAGCCTGGCCCGGCCCAGCCTGGCTAACACTGCT